CTTTATTGAATGGCGTCTTACATGAAGTTTAACAGTTGTGGGGGAGTTAAAACTCCTTGATATTTTCTTAAAAACTACTTAATGATAAGTACAGATGCCCTTCAGGTCGGTTTCCTCTCTCATCGTTAACGATCGTTAACGAAGGGGTCGTCGTTAACGAACGTTAAAGAAGGGTTGTCGTTAACGAAGGGTCATCGTTAACTAAATCGTTAACGAAACGACGAATTTTATAAAAAAGATCATTTTTAAAACGATCGTTTTTAAAAACGAGCGTTTTGAAAAACGATCGTTTTAAAAACGACCATTTTTTAAAAACGAACTTTTTAAAAAACGATAGTTTCGTTTTCGAGTTTTTTTCGTCGTTTTCATAACAAAACGATTGTTTTTCTGAAAAATGAAAACGTTAACATCTCTATATACAATGCACTTAACCAACATTTTTACCGCTAGGTGTCTCTGCCTAGTGTAATTTTAATAGGATTTGCATTCGTAATAATCGCAATAATATAATAGCGCAAAATTTGATCCGTAGTATTTAATTTAGTTTATAATTTACTACACAAATTAACTTTTTTCCCAGTACTCTCAATTACTATCACAAAACAGTTGATATTTACAATACTCTAAAATATCCCATAATTGCTATATTGTTTGAGCTACAGACAAATCTAAAAATATATTTTTTTAATAGCCCTTAAATATGTTGGCAAAACATGCAAAACATGAGTCGCATCTTCGCTTGTTAACAAGATAATAAAAAACGACAAAAAATTTTATGAAAGAGTTGTTGTCGCAAATCTTGTGCAGTATTTTTCGCCCAAATTGCGGAATTCTGAACAAAAAAATCGAAAAATTGCCTCTGGTGCAGAAGACTCTAATTCTTTTAAAGCTTCTTTAAGGGTGGGGCAGAGGCTTAAATAAGGATTCTGTAGGGGGGGGGGGGGTAAATTCCCCTCGAATATATATTCTATTCTCTTTGATAAACACACTCTTTTAGATATATCTATTGATGTCAATTAGAGGTATAAGTATGACATTTTGGATTGTGAAGTTTAATTCACGGATGTTTAATTGATATTGGAAATGATTCAGATTTTAAAAATGTCTAAAAAAATAATGTCTAACAGAACGTGCTTTAGAGACACCCTGTATTTTTATGTAATTTTATGCATGGTGACGACAAAAATGACACAAGGGTCAAATTCTTACACATCACTAGGGTTAAATCTTCTATTTCAACTGTGAACATATTCTCTTAGTATACATAGAACAAAAAACAAAAAAGGAGGGGTAGCAGAGGCGCCACGAACCCCGCAAAAAAAGACCTCCAAGCCTTCAGATTTGCAGAATGACCTCCGGGCCCCGCAAAACCGTCTTCGTGCCTTTAATTACATCTCCGAGTCTACACCATTCTGTCTCCACACCCCACACTTTGGTCTCCATTAAAAAATAATTGGCTTTTATATCCACCAAAAACCTTTTTTTCTCGAAAAATCTCAACATTATAAAATAGTTTTTAATGATACATTAACAATTTGCATTAAAAAGTCCATTTATTTGAGATTGAAGATTTTAGTCTCATGTACTGTTAAATTAGGGGCATAGTATAAATGTTAATCAGGGAGGAAAGGGGGAGCAAAAACTCGTAGAGAAGACAACTTAATTTGTATTTCAATGATTAGAATGATTCAGTAGAACGAGAAACACCCACCTGTTGAAAACCCTTTCTAACACAACAAAAATAATGAAGAATTTATATTTTATAACTTCAAGGGAATAACAAATCAATCGCTCTAGTTCGTTCATTGCAACTATTTTCTCCCAAGGTCCAACTTAAACATAGTGTCAAAAAGAAATTTTTAAAATCAAAATTCGATAATTTGGAATTTTGAAGACCTTTGTGGTCCCTGTAAGGAAGCCCCAAAATAATTTTGAAATGTAAAAAACGAACAGAGGATATAAAGCAACTATTTGATTGTAGTTCCCAAACTTATCTCGATCAAAAAAAAAAGCTATTTCGAAACCCTCCGGTGTTCGGGAGGGAGTTTATTAGATGTTAAATCAAATACAATTCGTTCGTGAAGAACACATTTAAAATAAAGTGTTAAGATTAGTGACACCAAACCGAACGAATTTAGAAAAGGGACTGTAGATGGTATTTGGCGCCACTTAGGGATAACTTACAAATTACATGGCTAGATAACAATCACATGCTATAATTGGGATAACAATAAAAATACATTTTTTTTGGTGCCAAAAAGGCATTTCAATTTTTTGATTAAGAAATCTATTTACAAATCATTAAGGGAATATATAAAGGCCAGAAGATTATCTCCTTGGTACAATATTTTTTTTGTGATTTTTCATTTTATACTTTTTTTGGTTTATTTTTTGTAAAATTTTATTATTTTTTGTCTTTTTTTCAAATTTAAGAAGTCAATAAAACTACGAATATTAATTGTCTCCTATACTGGTTAAAGTTAACCATTCTCTGAACTTGGAAGCATTTTTCCAGTTCAGGTTTAAGGTTTATATTTTTCATACTTCTATTATGATGAATATATGAAGCTAAATAGCAAAATTCGTGTATCACATGTACCACAGCCATTGAGAGAAATGCAAAAGTAAAATAAATAATTAAAAAATATTAAGAGACGGTTTTATGTTCCTTTTTAATAAGTTAAGTTTGCTAATTAGGTTGATACGTAGCATCAGGGACTGAATCGAAGACAGTTTGTCATTCGGTGGACTGATCCAAATAAAAAATTTTAAAACTTTATCTGTTCCGAGAATTTTTTTTTATATATCAACTCACCCTAACAAAAAACTACTTTTTACATTTTACGTCTCAATAGTATGCTTAGTACCAATCTCCATTAGCCTCAAATTGCAGGATAAAATTGAGGTAGCAAATGCTGGCTGAGAATTTTTTAAAGATTTTCAAGGCAAAGTAGAGACTGTTTCAAGTGAAGCTGTGGCCTAGTGTACACTATTTAAGATTGGCTAAATATAGGTTCACAGATTATCTGTTATCATAATTTAAAAATGTAAAATATCATATAAATGAAATATATATAAATTACACGGGTAACTGAAGGATAGTTCTGATAGAAAGTCCAAAAAAATTAAAACTTGCCAGAATTACAAGTTCACATGTTCAGCAACAATTAAATAATTCCAGGTACTACAATTTGCTGGGAGAGTAAGCGTAAAAGTTCTTAATATAGCAGGTAAATGAATTTCTATTTTATCAGGTACATTGGAGTAGTAAGACACAAACAATCTGATTTATATTGTGCCAATTTGAAGAAAAAAGTTTTGGTCATCGAAGATTTGATTTGTAGCAATTATGAAAAAGGGTTTAACGTCTATGTAAAGAACTGAAAAAAATGAGATGGGGGAAGTTAAGAGAAAATACCAAAAGGGGAAAAATCGTTTCAAGTTAATAAACATGGTGAAGATTGTAACAGTGAATCAATGCATGAAAAAAGTAACATCAGAACTACCCTTTCTAGTAACCCAGGAAATAAATTTCCTGATTATACCAACATTGACTTACAAACAGACTACAATCTACGAATAGCACGAGTAAAAAATTGGCAGAACTTCAGGCAGGAGAGTTTCTACTTCCCAAACACATCATCATTGTTGCAAATGTTGACCCTTAACAAGAATAATCGTCAATCCTGACAAAACGTTTAAATAAAGTAAAATAATAAGGCGTGATACTGTAAAGACGACCTGAAACTTATCAAAATAAGACAATCCCAATCTTATTGGATAACCTTGATAAACATCTTTTCATGGCTTGCTTAAAAGTTTGTAGCTGCAGAGACTCATGAATATCATAAAATTTAAGTTTCTTACAGTCGTCTCTGAAGTCTCATCCTTTGTGGGCCTTTAAAAAGTTCATAACTAACAAGGTAAATACAGAGATTAAATAACTAGTAATAATAAATTGAGGGGACTATTGCTGTAAATCGAAGTAACCCTTCTGTCCAAAAAGGTCTTATTCACAACAGTACCCTTACAATCGTTATCTGTTTACAATTGTCGAGGATATGGTTTTCAAATAAAGTTTTTAATTCTCAAGATATCGTTTTAAAATGAAGTTAATAATTCTAACAATTTCCTGTTGAAAACATGGATATCTCATATTTTTTAATATAAAACCTTTTTAAGTACCGTTGTGAAAAAAAACAGACCACTCTCTAAATGAATGGTCAGTTGAAATTAGGTATTCAGTCCCTTTAGTATGAAGACAATTAGTCTCAAAACCAAATCAGTTCCTTAATATTTTCAACCAAAATCAGTTGAATCAATCTTCGATTATAAAAAACTTACTTGATGTCATTTTTCATCCTTTGAATATAGTTTACAGGCATTGGAGAAGTCAAATCGTTCACTTCACTGACAGATCGTCTATACAGTATAGAAACATGATAATCCGCTAGTTATACGTCAACTTAGCGTCCTCTTACCAAGTTTAACCCCGGTCATCATCACTAACCGATCCCCTAGATAACAAACTTAACATTAAACCAAAATTCCGACAATGGAAGATTATGAAGACTGCTATTTTCCTCCAAAGCTTTAGGCTCCAAGGCTCCATAATTGGCATCTATTTGTCGTAGCTGGTTCCTTACATTAGAAATTGGGCACCGAAACAATAATTTGAAAACTTCGCCAAACCAAATAATTCCCTATGGACCAACTAGTCGTTTTTATTCTATCTGTTCCACTTTATTATTTACTATTTATTCACTTTGTTACTACAATAACTAGTTATGCAGAACTGTCCTAATACAAAAATATAGAATGCAGCAAACCCTACCAAAGAGGGTACTACTACGGACAGCAAACTATTCTTTTTTTTTGTGTGAACTATCAAATGCTCAAATTCTTTCAAGAAACATAAACACAGGCTTTATTCATTCTTCATTTAACGTTTGTTTACAATTACAAAATTTCCTCGACAGACCCAATATTCTAAAGAGCTACCTGCTAATACCAATATACAATTTACAAAATTTAAAAAGTAACTTGACACCAAGTACAAGAATTAAATGACTCACCTAGGTGAACGGTGAGGTCTGGCTAATAGTGGCTTAACTCCCCTTGAGAATGTGAACTGCTGGTTGTCCTTAAATATAACAGTAATTAATCAATAAATTTGTGCATGAGAGGATTGTGCAACCTATGCTAAATGTCAAAGCCCAAATATAAAGTTCAGGTATTTTTTGTAAAATTTCTAAAAACTTTGTCAAAATAAATTAAGTTCAGATTTTTGCTTTTCACGAAAATAAATTTTGAAATAAAAAGTTTGACAAGTATATTTTAAACTAACAATTCTTATTGGGAGTGTTTAATCACTGAAAATCTCAAAACTCCATTTATGGCATAAGCTAAGGGGTTGCTAGACCTGCTATTGACCTGATTAACTGGAGAATCGGGAGCACTGTGGGGTTGGGGTGGAGGAATCGTTACATCAGCCTAAAATATTATCAGCTATTTAACAGGAATGAACATTCCTTTCTAAAAAGCTGTTTTTTGGTACGCAACAATATTCATTTAATCCCGCCAGGATATTTTCATTGAAAGATACATTGAAAATCTACAAAGGCAAAAAAATCCGCAAAATCCCTAAGCCCTCGAGTTTGTCATTGAATCCCCTCTTTAAAAAGGAATGTCATTTACTCTCAGACAAATTACCCACAATAAAATTGATTTGACCCTTCATCTAAAGAGTGGTTTGTAACAATACCCCAATTGAAAGGTATTTATTTCAGTGATCTGAGGAAATCTAGAAATTGTCATTAGGTAATTAGGATATCTTGAAATTGTCAGTAGGTAATAAGGAAATTTAAAAATTATTGGTAGGTAATTTGGAAATCTAGAAATTGAGTAAGTAATTAGGAAATCTAGAAATTGTCAGTAGGTAATTAGTAAATGTAGAAATTCTCAGTAGGTAATAGGAAATATATAAGTTGTCGGTGGCTAATTAGGATATATATAAGTTGTCAGTAGCTAATGAGAAAATCTAGAAATTGTCAGTAGGTAATTAGTAAATCTAGAAATTCTCAGTAGGAAATAGGAAATATATAAGTTGTCGGTGGCTAATTAGGATATATATAAGTTGTCAGTAGCTAATGAGAAAATCTAGAAGTTGTCAGTAGGTAATGCATGACAAATTTTATCTTGTAATGTGGTCCATCTCTGAATTAACCAAACAACTGTCTAGTTTTAACCACTAGATCCTTTTTAACATTAACAATACCATTTATGTGACTTTGTATTAGAAAAAATGGAAAAAAGGGTTTATCATATAAGACATAAAATGAAAACAAGCTGTTGTCCAGACTGGTACTTTCCAGGATAAGTACAAATCTCAATTAAAAAATTCTTTAGTTAACCGACCTGACTTAAAGGAATCATGCCCGGCAAAGACTGCGTACTGGGTGAGTGATGAAGGTTGAAGAATGGTTGTGGTTGGGAGTTGTATAAAGTTTGGAAGGGTGAGGGGGGTGGAGCATCCTGATGGTTGATCCGGGAACGGTAAAGGAAGTTTGGCGCAACTGTATCACTTAAAAATCTTAATAAATCCCTAACTCGAGTCACGTTAATACATAAATTACAAAATCCGACACCAAAATTTTAAAAATAGATAACAGTTTAAATAAAATCTTTCAAACTTTTACCTAGAGTTGGAGACAGATCTAAGCCGATCCTCTTCACTGGAATCCTGGTACAAATAATATAATTCAGATGTATAACTTTAACTAAGGGTTATGGACGCAATTAGAAGTAGTCCTCCGTTTTATAGTGACCTTCCTGTGTGATTCACAATGGTATATCTTAAATCTTTGTTTGAGAACAATAAACATTAATCTTTTATTCGGAAAATTGATAACTTTTCGCTATAATATTTCGTTTCTTAATAGCTGCAGAGGGTACAGTTATGAATCTGACATGCTTGCTCGTCCTAAAAGGCTCAATTTAAAATTTTTTAACTTTTGAAGAAATTGCCCTGCATAAAATTATTGAGAATATCAACTTTCATTAAGTCAAATAGTACTAGGGATCAACCTTGAAACGATCAGAAATGTAAACTGAAACGTAATGGATGCTTCTAATACCTTCTGAGCTCGTGTTATTTTTTTCCTCTCTGCCTGCTCAAGCTCAGGTAAAGAAACACACGAGTATGGCATCTGCAAAAAAGACGTATTAGAGTATAATTATTAATTTCAGAGAGAATAAAAACAGTTCCACTAATTAGTTTTAATTTGAATTTTAAGGTCTTCCTACTTGCGACATAAAATGCCCAAGATGAACTTGCTAAATCAGGAAAGAGATATGGACTTTACAAACCTTTAAGTTATATTTGAACTGTAACTGATAACAAACAAATTTCTAGTTCACTGATGAAAGCTTGCTGTTAATATTTCTGAAATATTGTTCAAATAATATGAAAAACTAGTCTTACTTTGACGTTGTTGTTAATGCTTCGCACGCCGTTAACCACAGCAACCACGCCAGATCTAAAAAAGGCAATTCAATAAGTTTTACAAAAAAACAAAATGCACAAACAATGATTTCTCTAAATGTCTTTTGCTTGTCCGTGTTGGTATTCAATTAACGTCATAGGTGAAATATATGCACATGAAACCATGGAAGGTTTATGGTTAAACAAAATTGAAATATTTTGACTAGGAAAGAAATGCAGAACTCCACCAAATCAAGCAATAACTATGTAAACATTTAGTTTATGGGAATACAATAAAAACTAAAAGAACAGATAAGTATGTTACAAGGGGCGCAAGGCACGTTGAAAACATAACTGCATAAAACTGCAGTCAAAAGAAATACAAAATATGCTACCCCATTAGGTTGACATTTCCAATAAAATCCCTGCCTGGGAAAACTCATTTAGCAGTAAATTAAGATCTTCGGCCACTTTATGAAGAAAACTTATTAAGCATACAATTTTGAAAGTACTGTCAAGTCAATATTGATACCATTTCAAGCGACCCTTTAATTTAACTGGCATAATTATAATGTGCAATGGTACTGTTAAAACTGTTTTCAAAGAATATTATAGATTTTAATGTTTAACTTACTGAAATCCAACAGTTTTATTCTGTATCTAAATTAAACAATTAAATACCTTTCAGCTAGAAAAATATGTATACAGGGTGGCCAAAACTTTTTTGAAAAAATCCGTACAAAAAATCCGTACATTTTCAGAAGAAATCCGTACAATCCGTACAATTTTCGAAAAAATCCGTACATTTGTTTTGAAAAATCCGTACAATTTTCGAAAAAATCCGTACAAAAGAGAACCAGAGAATCAGAGAACCAGAGAATCAGAGAACCAGAGAACTAGAGAACTATATAAAAATCGATAAACAGAGAAACAGATAGACACATACACATATAGATAAACAGAGAGACAGATAGGATATATAAACAGATAGATAAAAAGATAGATAAAATGACATGCAGATAGATATACAGATGGATATACAGATGAATAGACAGATAGCTAGACAGATAGCTAGACAGATAGCTAGACAGATAGCTAGACAGTTAGCTAGACAGTTAGCTAGACAGTTAGCTAGACAGATAGACAGATAGATAGACAGATAGATAAACATATTCTCAAATGAACACTTCTGGGATCTCGAAAATTATGAATGAATTTTGATTGTCAATTGAATATTAATCAATCTAATATTATTTTGAATCCAGAAAATAAGTTAAACTAACTTCATTTTGACGAGATTTGTTTTGAAATTTTCATGAAAAATTTGCTGAAATGAGTGAAAATAAAAAAGCCAATATATTTCCAGGATAAAAATCCGTACAGTTTGAAAAAAATCCGTACAATCCGTACATTCCGTACAATTTTAGGGTTAAAAAATAAAAAAATCTGTACAATCCGTACATTTTGGCCACCCTGTGTATACCTTTAAAGGCTTTAAGGTTTATATGTAAATTGGGCATGCCAATCCATTAAAGAAAGAGTCGCAAGAAATTACATCTTTGGTCCATTTAAATTTATTCAACTGCCTGTCCATGTAACAATAAATTACCTCTGAGGTTCCAAAGGTCTGGGACTAGGACGAGCAGACTGATTTGGTGAATTCCTGGGTACATTAAGAGGAGTGGGTGTAATCCCTGCTGCCTGACCAGCAGGGGGTGGTGGGAAATTGAAGGGACCAAGATGACTAAGGTGATATTGCCTAAGGCAGAACAGCTAGGTGCTACAACTAAAAATTGTGATATCATGTCAGAGGTGTATCTTCTACGATTTCCTTTCTGTGGATAGTATTTCTCTGTACTCCAATATAAAAGTACATTAATTAACAGGAAAGGAAATATATTCAGAAAACATACACCCCTGATGGAATTTTGACCCTGACAACAAAAATATGGGGTTATAAAAATAAGGGGATTTGAAGAAGCATAATATCACACATAGCTCCTTCCCTAGGTGAGTAGGATGGGAAAGCTCCAGGAGACCCAAGATATGCGGTTGGGACACTAATTCCTCTAGTTTGGGGGATTCCAGGCCCAGACACAGATATGCCTGGCACAAGACCTGCATAGATTCATGTCACCAGGGTTTGTTGAGGTAAATATTATTTAGAATTAACCCCTAGGAAATCAGCCGGCTTACTTTCCTAGTTGCTTCTTTTGACCATAAAATTAAAATAATTGCTCCTATCTACAATCTAGATATAGGCCTGGGCAAATTACCATTAGCAGTAACAGCCATTAATTTTCTATGGCTCCTTTTACTTGCATTCAATACTAATAACCTTAAATTAGAGCCTAATATCGTCTAATGAAAGATTAGATTGTATTACTGTAAAATAGGTTTTTTAGTATATATACTAATCGTTATCATCAAATTTCCCGGGCCTTTCCATGTAACTAAACTTTACTGCAGTGTTCTCTCCAAAACAATAATACAATCTTTTAACTATTTTAACATATTCAAAATTTTAAACATTACCTTCATTGTAAATAAACTGGCTAGGTGAGTTGGTCTGTGTCCGTTGGTAGTTAGGAGAATTGTTTCTACTGGAATATCCTCGCGGAGATAAAGTAGATCTATCTTACCAAGAAAGTTAAAGACAATGCTAAAAAAACTTATTTTTTAAAAATATTTTTCTTTGCAGATCTTATTTAGAGGCAAAACATTTATTCCTAACCACAATTTTAAATAAACAAAAACTTTAAATCATTTTTTTTCTAATTATCATCTGAATTTGCTTTTTCTTTCCTAGGAGACATAGATCTAGGATTAGGAATAAGTATTGCTGGTGGAGACATCCTGTCATGATGATGGCCAAACAGAGCCTGAATCACATTTTTTTGTTTTTAATCTTACTGACAGAAACAATCTCAAAAACTTTCCAGTGTCAACCCAGACCGAAATATATTTTCAATAAGTGTGGAACTAACATCTTTTTTTACTCTACAGAGGTTTGGTCCATCACCATCACCAATTTAACATCATTTTTTAAGGATCAATCAAGATAAAAATAACAATAGTCAACTCAAATATCAAATGAATAGATTAGGGAATATAGACTTCATATGCAATAAGAACAAAATCAAGCAGTTAAAAGCTAAAAGAAAAGGTACTTGCCCCCATGTACATTGGAAAGATGATAGGCTGGTTAGGGTAGGCGTTGTTAAGGTTGGTTCCCATTGAAGCAGTTGCAGTAGTATATGTGCTACTAGTCTGTGTATGGTAAGCAAAGTTGCTTGAAAAGGCCTGAGAGCTCGCAGGTTGAGGTATGTAGCTGGGGTGGATGATTGACTGCACAAGGACAAAATTGAGACAAAACTCTGCTTCCAAAATTGTGTATGACCAAAGAAGTAGAATTATTTAATATCTGGGTGGAAAAGGAACCTTATTTATCTTTTTGTCCCAGCTAAAATAGTCTTAAGACAAACTCTTCATTAATGTTTCCCCCTCCCCCGCCACTTTTTAGTAAAGCCATTTATTCGACAATATTCCTTCCTGATGGTTGCTGGTACTTAAAACTTGAACTGGAGGAGTCGGAACCCTGGACATATTTCCCTGTTCCAAACAGACAACGCATTAGTTTGACAAGATAGTATAAGGAATGCATGATTTCAAGAATGATATTACTTCCATTGTTAGGGGATTTCTTTTAGAGAAACTGAAAAAAAATCTATTAAATCCTCAGTGCAACCTCATATGTAATTTTTGGTTAAATATATTAGCTTCAAAGCCTGTGATGTCGTACAAGGATAAAGAAAGATGGCTACCTGGGCAATTGAAGCATAAGTAGCTGGTGGCTTTTCATTTGTATTCATGTGCAAATCCTTAAGCATAACATAAGGTTAGATTATTCCAGAGATATTTATCATTGAATAAATAGAATGCTGAATCAGTTTATACCTTGAGAGGAAGAAGACTGAAGATCTTGCTTCTGCTAACAACAGAATATCTGACAGAGAAAGCTTGCTTAACCATTGGACTATTACCAAATGTTTTCCTCAGATCACCTGAAAGATATTTTTCCCAACATTAGAAAGATGATCTTGTATCTTCAAAATTATTTGCAGCATTTAATTATCAACCTGAATTCAGAACTCAAATTTACTTTTAACAGTGCATAGCCTTAGGATTCATTTAAATTTGCTGTGAATCCAGATCCTGGATCCCACTGGAAAAAAATGAATCTGGATTCAGATCCAGGTCATGAAAATTTCTTCAAGATTTTTTTCCCTCTTTTTTCATCAGTTCAAATTTGGTTTTGAGAGTGAAACAGTTTGGTCGATATTTCCACTCTGAATCTGAATCTGTGGATTGGCATATTATTAAGATCTAGATCAACAAAACCAAAATCTTGTGTATCCAGATCCAAAGCAATGCTTCCCAAGTACAATATTTGAACTAAAAATAATAAATATTCCTAGTTCTAGCATTTCCAAAATGTGATCTTCCATTAAGCGAACAATTGCAGGACTTTTGTCCCCAGAATCTTACTTGCAAGAATAGGTTGACAATTAAGCCACGAAAAAGATGATCTTGAAGTCAATCTCTCCACAGTCTTTTTAAGTGATTTATTTTAACTGAATGAAAAAAGCTGGAACAATTTAACTTAATACCTTATTCTGCTGCTAATAAAATATTACCAAAGCATCTTTCAACAAATACTCTACAGTCTTCAGCCACAAGTTTCTCCAAATTATTTCCAGATTTAGCAACACCTGGAAATAATTTATGATTATTCCCATTTTGTTCATGGGATTAATATGGTCTTTAAATCAAAAGTATAAAATCACTTATTTTGAGAATATTTTTAACCTTAAGTTAAAAATATAAATTATAGTCCAATGATAAAAAGAATAAAATCTTTTGTTTAACAATTGTTTGACCAAACCAGACCATTTTCATCAAGTTCATTAACAGTGGTATGAATTTAACCAGCTATATTAAAAAAGAAATCAAATTAAATCACAAAGGGCAGGGATGACTTGGACTCCAGTAGTGGATTGGAGGTGTAAGTCCTTTCTGTGTCATGTTTTTTCAGTCTGAACTTCTTCCTATTTTTAAAACATCTCATCAACATAAGTTAGTAAATTGCAAAGTATCTAGCCACACGACCAAGTTTGTGCCATGCCTAACCTTATGACCTCCGTCATACAAAATTTGTGTCTGGGCAAGATTTGCATGATTGAGGTCTCCCCAATCCCCAGTGAGTATTTTTGATATATATATATCTTGAGTTATTAAATTAATTTACTAATGAGCGCATTATTAATACAAGTTTAATTATTTATAACAGGTTTATAAGTGATTAAAACTAGGTTAAACGTTTATTAATTAGCTAGTGAATTAAATGTATTTTCTACAACAACAAGTCCAGTCTAGAAGTGAGAGTAGTTGATTCGGTACCAGTATGAAACGTCGGACAGTACAAACGTCAGACGCACAAACGTCAGACCAGTACAAACGTCGGACAGGTACATTTACAAGAAAAAACGTCGGACTTGGTAGATTTTGAATGGACCATTGTTTTAAAAAAGTCAAACTATGAATTCTACAAGATCATACAGTTTAATCCATATATCTTTGCAACCCACTGTTCTAGACCTTAGATATTTCAAACTACTTGTTTTTCTATTTCACGTACTCTTTTCTTCAAAAGATCCCAGGAAACTGATAATCTTGTCATTCTCATTATTTACAACTGCTCCTGCAGGACAAGAATTGTTTTTCCTTTGAATGCAATGGTAATAGTTTTTGTTGGGTTTCTTCTTTGTAACCCTATATTCCCCCCTGCTTGACCTCAATATAGTTAGCAGTCTTCTCATCCATGTATGCAGACTTTGGAAGATATAACCCTATATTCAAACTGATTTGAATCAAGTAGGTGCTGTCCCCCCTGCTTGACCTCAATATAGTTAGCAGTCTTCTCATCCATGTATCCAGACTTTGGAAGATAATGAATTTTTAACAAAAATAAATGGGAATTTTTTTGAGAGAAAATTGCGAATTTACAAGAATTTTAATTTGAAAATTCAAATATATTTTTTTCCTCCTTAATCCGACGTTTAACCTAATAAATGTACCCGTCCAAAGTTTGTAATGGTCCAACGTTTGTTCTGGTCCGACGTTTGTACTGGTCCGACGTTTGTACTGTCCGACGTTTGTAAGTCTTATGTTAGTAAAGTCCAGACGGTTGTGGGTCTGACGTTTGTACTGGTACCGTTGATTCAGGATATTATTATTAGATCAAGTCTAGTTCAGCAGTTTGTTTAATATCTTAAATTAAATGCTGTCTCAAGGTGAACATGGTCTCAGTCATCAATTATTACCATTATAAAAGTTGACCACACCTAATGCATTATAATGGGCTGAATGATGAACAGTTCGGCCTCTCATCTTGGACCACTCCAAAATTAGAAATTAATAACTTACCAATAAACCAATTTTGTACAAAAACACGCCCCTCCTTCTTTGAGAACCCTTTTGGCCAAATTCTAACTGAGAACACTCTAAAAAAACAAAATTACAAAAAAGTAAATGTGTATTGTATTAGATCCTGAACTTGCGGAACTGACAAATGAATTGAACTATGTCCTTACTATTCAGTGTCTGTCTGTTTCAAGGTCAGAACTTAAGTCAGCTAAAACCATTTTAATAACATGAAGCCTCTTTTTAAAACCCTCCCCCCCCCTCTCCCTTGAGGAACATTTTAAAATAACTTTTAAGTTAAATCATTGACAACAATTACCTTCTCTTGAAAGCTAAAAAATATTGAGTAATTCTAAGATGCCTTAAAAAACAAACCTTTGTGATGATTCAATCTTTTCCTTCAGATATCTTAGCTTGGATTCAATGCATCCATGCCAAAATAAGGAATCCGTTTCACACTCACCAGTAATATTTAAAAATTCATCATATTCCTAAAAAGTCATTGATGCAAGCCTTCATTACACCCATAAAAAAGAACAAAAAAATCAGTCAAGATTAATGTCCTACAAACAAAATTAACATCAGGCAAGTTGATAGCTATTTAAAGTTAATTTCACTTCCAAACAAATGTAGGGGTGTATATTTTACAGAATTATCTCCCTGAAATAATTAATTCTAGGGGAGAAAACCTTTAAAAGCAACATAAGTTCTGGTTCAACAACAGGCAAAATACTGTAAGTGGACATTATAAACCACATTTTCCACAAAGGGAAGAAGATTCTCAAAAATATAAATAAATGTGAATAAATTAATCTTAAGAATTAGAATGGAATAACTACCTGATAGAAAGGAAATGGCTTGAAAAGTGAATCCCAACCTACTAATCCAGCCTATTAATAGTAAAATTAGGCAATGCATGATTTTCAATGACATTTTTAATACATAATGAGCTAAGATTTTAGAAAGTCCAAAATATTTATTTACAAGTTAAACCAGGCATCAAACATAACTTAAACCTTGGATGTTTAGTAGTCTTTAACATGTATGATAACTAAATAAATAATCATCTTATCTAACCTATTTACAGGACAATTTTTAAATTAGTTAACAACTTTGCCCAGCCATTCTTGAATACCATTTTAAATCTCTGTTCTGACAGGGCACCTGAATTTGATGACAAATCTGATGTGCTTCACTCATCTTCTCCTGAATATACTTCTGAATTGACTTGTTGATGTTCACAGCAGAGTTCATCTGGGGAACACTTAACATATAAATGTTTTCACTCATTTCATGTGGAAACTTACTAAACATTTCAGGATGTTCTTTAACAAACCTAGAGTTAGCCTGCTGTCAATTCTCTGAGTGACTTAAAAGGAAGTTTACATTTCTTTAAAATTTGGTGATGGGGATAACCCAAACCTCCCTAGAGTAAATAAGTAACTGTTAGATTCAGGAGTCTGAACACTGTCTGACTATCATGAGGTGAGATTGTCAGCTGAGCTGAGAATTGACAGCTGTGGTGTGACTAGATCTAGGGAGCCAAAATATTACCGATACAATGGATTCAGATACTATACACTAAAAATTAGCCCTACCTGGATGTGATGATGGGCATGACATGATCTCTATCTCCTGCATTTACTGATGGATTCCAGGCAGAACTAGGTTGGTCCATAACTTGTCTTAATACATTAAACAATTTCAAAATGAGAGAATTTCAAATATCTAAACAAAAGGATAGTTAACTTCGAGTTAAAATGGTATCTAATGATAGATGGATAAAATATAAGGGATGTAATCCATTCTTTTTTGCATTAAGGACAGAGATCAGGGCTCATAGGGAATCTGGGGTTTAGGTATATTTCAAATGGTGAAATACACATCAAACAATTGTGTTTTGCGGCATCTGTGTGTCTCAAGTGTACACAGATCTGGGGGTTAACAGTCTGTTTACAGTTTTGTGTTGACCATTAGCATGTAGAAGTGCTGCTAAACACTGCAAATCATAACATATAAGAAAGTTTTACAGTCCTGAAGTTTCCATCAATGCTGTAAACCTATAATTTTCCTATTGGCACAACTAGACAATACTTAATTGAAACAAGAGAGCTTAATCCCTAGGTAAGACCATAACATATAATTTATTTTTCTAAAATATTTACATTTAAACTTTTATGAATTGGAATACATATTCTGCATCAGCACTGGACTCCATGGAATTGTTGTGCAGAATTGAACTTTGTCATTTTAGAATTGAGGATGGGGCAATATATCAACCAACGCAACGTTTGTGCTGTAGAATGTACAATGTTCTGAACTAAAAACATCTTTATTTAATTTAAAGGANGGGGGGCAGTCCTCTTTCAAATTAATTTTAGTAAGTTCTCAGAAAAAAAATTAAATTTGCTATAAATGTTTTTAAATGTTCATTGTTCAGGTTTCATTATGCCAATGAAATTGGAGAAGATGGAAGAAAAAAAAAATTTACAGAAAACAGATTACTAAGATTAAACAAGAGAGTAATTGCACTAAGTACACACACCAAGAAATCATTGAGAAAGAAGACAGCAGATAACTTCACAATAAAGAAAATGAAATGAAAATCTGTTTTTTCTAATACTGTAAATAAATTTGTTAGAATTAATACGTTTTTGATTGCTTTAAATGAAGTTTTTGATACAATTCAGGACCTCCCGTGGAAGATAAAAAGAAATGATTATTTTCTGATACTAATAAATGTGTTAAACTCAATACTTTTTTAATTGATTCAGATATAGACCAGTATTCTCGATTTACAATTCATTACTGTCACTGGGGAAGGAGAGGGCATCCCCCCCCCCACCATGTGATATATTATGTGATGGGAAATAAGTTTTTTCCCTGTGTATGAGGGACTTTGCTCCCTTTGCCTCTGTTTACCCTATGTGCGCCCCCTTCACTGTTCCTGCAAATTTTTGTTTAAACAAAATTAGGGCCAGGTAGCTGGATGCCCCACCCCCAATGTTAGACAATTTTTGTCCTCCCCCTTCAGGGTGAATCGCCCACTTGGTTTGTTTTGCGCCATATTTATCATCTTGATAAACAAACTAAATATTTTTTAAATATTTGAACTTTGCTCAAGGAACTTATTAGAGTTAGATTATCGAATTGTCCTCCATTTTCATACAAAAATAGCCATTTTGGATGTTTTGCGCCATATTTATCATCTTGATAAACAAACTAAATATTTTTTAAATATTTGAACTTTGCTCAAGGAACTTATTAGAGTTAGATTATCGATTTGAAAAATGTATACATTAATTGGTTTCTGCATTTTTATTTATGTGTAGAATGACGTCTACAAAAATCCCCCTCTTATTTATATATACATGTTAACTTTTATGTCCAATGATAAAGATAAGGAGTCTATACAATTCCCTTGTACAAACTGAGCATTCTATACTGCAATAAAATACCTTAACTCAAATGAAAGTTATCTAATATGTGAATCTTTGACTTTTATCAATTTAGGTTTAAGGCTAGGCAAACCCAGATAAAACCATAACAATATCAGCCTTTAATATAGGCAAATATATTTTACACCTAGAAAGAATTACATTTACAACAAGAGGGACAAACTTCAGCTTTGAGAGGCCCCATATCTTAGAATTTTATGCCAAGATCTGCACATCAAACACTAATATACGAGATTAATATTAATTAAAAAAAAATACTAAAAACAAACCAATTTTTTGCAACAGAAAATCTACCAGCCCAACGAATTATTAAAATTTAAATCAAGATCTTCAAAAAAATTTAACCTAATATAGACAGGGGCCGGCCACTTCCACTGGGAAAACATTTGAAAGAATGTGAACACAACCTCTTTAGGGCAATGCTCTGCATTTTGCCTTTTAGCTTGCTCCTGAAGAATTAGTGATTAAAAAATAAATTTATCTATATAATCCATAGTAATATTAATATGATTTTAATATTAGACTTACAAAGCTAAATCAAAACTAAATAACAACCAATGAAAATAACTTAATCTGTGACATACCTGGCATGTCCGTGCTACTAAAATGGCCCATGATGCCCCGCCGAGATATCCCAAGATGTTCCCGTATATACCGTTCATCTTCCCCCAAAGCTTGATTGCTCTCAAGGACAGCTGGAAAACTCTGAATGAAAATATTGTAAATACTGTGAATTCACAAAATTTATTTGACAGTTTGCTTGCTCTCAAGGACAACTGAAAAACATACCCTTACAGAATCCATTCCTTCAGTGTGCAATGTGCAGGTCATTAAGCTGAAGAGCAGGCAATATAAAGGACATTGAGCTGAATTTAAGGAACCATGACTGGCTTAAATCCTCCAATTAAGCTGAACAGTGAACAAATTTCACTGACCCAAAAATAAATTTAACCTGACATCAGGAACTAGAGTTAGGAGTTCACAAGTTGCTCTATATCCATTCAGGCTTCGTAAACAACGATCATCAAGGTTCTCAGTGAAGACTTCATTCTGTAACAATAGAATGGGAACCCCAGGTACTCAATACCCTCTGCTCTGCAGCATGAGAGCCTTTTAGATTTGCCGGGCAGTAAAAGCCTCCACTATATAGTTTTCAAGGTTCTCAGAATAAGTTGGGAAATTGCCGCTCGGAAAATTCTCTTTGGGAGTATTTAACACCTTTTAAACTCTTGTTTTAATTTAAGATGAGAAGAATTTTCAGTAGTTATAGATGGTTCCTAATAACTGAAAGTGGTTTATAAAACTTAACATTTTTTAACGTTAAAAAGAAAATGTTTCAAGAAAAATTTGAATTTAATTTCATTTCATTTCATTTATCTTCATATTCTTTGATGGTGGAGGCATGCACTGCATAGCAAGTCTGGGTAGCCAGGAGTTTCCTTCTTCATAACAAACAGAATTGGGTATGCACAAGTTTGTGGAATTGATGAATTAAAAGCGGAATTTAATTTATCTCAAAAATTTCACTAAAGTTTAGCTTGGGAACCCCAATTTACAGAAGATCGTAACAAATATTCAAACCCATAAGCATGCAAAGATTTTTAAATGAAAAATTTTCAGGAAAAAACCTTTCTAAGATTACAAGTTCATGTTTATCATTTCCTTGCAAAAACAAAATAAGGAGGAACATAATTATAAAATGACAAGAAGAATTGTGGCTGTGACTACAATGGACAAGAACAAGTTTTACCAAAAGAGCAGATTCCTTCTCTGGAACAGGTTCCGTCAGACTAGCAAATGTAAAGTCAATCTCTGTCTGAGAGGAAAATCATTTTCAGAATGCTTGAAGTGCTATTTGAAATTTCGTAACACACAAAGGATGAGATCGCTTGGTAAATAAAAAATAGTGTTTCATGGTTAACTTAGTTAATATACATTTTAGAGTTATTCGCTAATAAAAATCAAAGATTTGTCGTCTTTCTCTCTGCCTGGTTAAACTGAAATTTCATGACTGGAACAAATACGTCAGGAAGTCGACGAAGCTCATGGACATCTTTATGCTTTAGAAGCTTTTGATACATAGTGGTGAAAAACTGCTCCCTGCTCACATACTAAAGAATTTAAGATGAATACATGATAATTGATCATCCCTGAAAGTAAATGAATTATAGAAATTACCGATGGCGCCACACAAATGAGATCCATGTCAGCATCTCTATCAGCAGCTCCAAGTTTACAGGAGCCATATATTAACACCATCCCCTGGTTCTAAAATAGTTGCAACAATATACAGAAAGTTGAAGAGAATAAAAAGAAAAATCATAATCTCAATAACATTATTTTACATTTACTTGCCTTTTCAACCACCATGTAATCCAACCCCTTTTCAAGACCACAACTTCTAACCCATTGTTTAACCAAAAGATCTAAGCTCTTGACAATCTCCTCCCTTGCTGTTAAACCTTCCTTAACACACAAGTTCCAATACATTTTAACTTATTTCTTGTATTTAAACTTCCTACCGGGGTTTCAAAGCATCCATGTTGTTCCAAAACACTTCTCAGCCCAGCATCTGTATTAGGGAACTCGATCTCCTTAACAAATTTGATGGAGCAAGTATTTAAATTGGATTTGGTGCTATGTATTGGTATTACCACTGATGGCTGTTCTCCAATGTAAGCCTGGTAGTCCAATCCATAATTTTCATTCCTTATTGGTAGATCTGATCTTCCCTCTCCACCTCGTCCATCCATCATCATTGAAAACTAAGTGGAAAAGATACTAGTTCAGAAAATGATAGATCTAGGCTTTGAATAAATAACGCCTGAAGTATGTTTTTGTTGTTCACCGTGCACATTTGGCATTTAGGATAATTCCAGATATTTTGTTTAAGAAAGTGTTTGCAAAAATGAAAGGGTATAGGCAGGCTTACATTGAAAAATATTTGATGGCGATTGCTACAAATCTTGCTTCTTTTTGCTGCGTTTTAAAAGAGAAAATTGTTAAATATGACTTATACCGAAGAACGTTGCGACTGCATCCTTAAAAATTCAAAAAGTTGCAATATTCGACTTGGATAGAAAAAAAAGTCAATTTTATTCCAAACAAATCATTGAGATATTATCAGATTTTATTTCAACGCATTCGTTTCAAGTCGACATTTCATAATATTTTTAGTTTTTAAAAAATTGATATTTTGCTTACAACTTGTTGTTACAGCTAGTGCTGGATTTTCAAACATTCCTGGAAAATATGAAAATGTCGTTTTCATTATCAAAAATCCTGGAAACAGGAATGAATGTTTTCAATAGTAACTCTACCATAAAAAACTAAAATTATTGAGAAATACCAACTATGTACAAATGCGTCTAAAAAAGCGATGATTATAGGCTGTAATATCTGAATGTTTTGTTATGAATTAAATTGAATTTTTTTTACAATCCGAGTCGAATATTGAAATCAACTCTGCACATCAAACACTAATATAC